TAATGATTTCTTTCTTTCGACATACTAGATCGTTTATCGCTCGATGCATTAAAAAAAAAAAAGTATTAGTGACTAAAAAATTGAGAAAAAATAGTATTTTAATTATATTGTGAAACTGTGATAAGAACAATGAATAAATTGTTCGAATTAACTAAAATAGAACGTAATAATGTCAATCATTTGTATAGTAAATGTGATATAAGAAAACAGCAATAAAAAAAGTTTTATTAAAGAAAAATATATTATTAAATCCTAAAAGTGTCATTTTGGCTGTTTTAAATAAATGTTTGTCTGAATTGACAATGAGAGATCATATAACATTACAGTCATTCCTCTATTTTCATATTAACATTCAACTACATGAATATAATTCGACCAAGTGTTGCAAAACGTTAAGTTACGTCATATCCATTTTGCCGCGATTACATTTTGATATTTCTCAATTTATATATTCTCACGATTTTATAAAAAAAAAGTTGCGAATATACTTCAATTTCAGAATCATCAGAATCTTCCTCAGAAGCTTTAAATCTCGCACATACTTTATTCGCAAAGTTACGTACTCGCGGCGTGATTTATATAACGCTTAATGATCTCGGCGCAAATGATCGGAATTCGCGAGGCGTCCGCGGAGCGCGCGCGCGCGCGCAAATTTCTTCGCGCGACACTCGCCGCCGCCGTCGTCGAAGAAAATCGCCGACACGCCGGAATCATGGTGCGCAGGTTAGCGAATGACCATCGGGCCCGTACACGTCGGGGCGCATAGAGCCCGGAATGGTGGTGGTCGACCGCCTGTTACGGAGCGTTGGTGGGCGACGTTGTTGTCCTCGTTGGTAGTGGTAGCCGTGATGGCTAGTGGCTGGCGCCGCCGGACGTTCAACAATGGTCGCGCTCCCCTTTCCCGTCTCCCTTTTACACCCCCCGCCTCCACCCCCTCCCCTCGTGTCCCACCGACGCCGCCGGTCGCGTAGCCGTCAAACACCCCCGACTACTGACAGCTTCGAATCGGACCCCACGTGCGATTTTCACGCGCGAGAGACCCGACCGACGGTCCCTCACGTTCGCGACGCGTCGATCTCTCATCTCTCGGCAGCTGTTCCCCTTATGATTAATTAATATCTGTTAAATTGGATCAATTAAATTGAATCAGTTTTTGGTCACCTATTTTTTACGCGAAATGATCCCCGAGATTCTTTCCCACGTGAGAATTTTATGACTACAAAAGCTCTTTGATTTATCAAAAAAATCGTTCCACGTGAATTTATTCGACGATCGACAGACTCGTCGGAATTCTTTCATCTATTTTCTTACTTATAGTTTACATATAAACTGTCTCGGTTTTTATTCTCCAATTCTTTTTTTAAAACAACTTTTCTCGAGGATATCTGCGAGATTATCGTAAAATGCAGGATACAAATAAACTCCCCGGAAGTTACGTTAGAATTATTATATGAAAAATTGGATAAATCCGAGCGATCGCGCGACGCTCGTAGCCGCCGCTAGTGCCGCTACTCCACTCGGGCAGCGATTGCGCCGTACAAATGCTGGAAGCGTCTGGCGGGTATGCGCGGGGCGCCGGGGTGGGGCAAGGCTATAAAAAGACGCAGGTGAGGGGCGGAGGCCAGTCGGCTTCGATCCGTCAGAGCGATCGTGCGTCTAATTCTGGTCGACGGTCACGTTTCGGCCGCCTCGCCGTACTGTAGTTTTCGTATACGTGCGACGATCGCATCGAACGTCATCATCGTCACGGCGCGCAGCTGTCGCTCGAGGATGACGCGGCTGGTCGGCGATACGAGGAGTATCGGCACCGTGTGATCTCCGCACGCGTGATTTCACGCGCTCGCCTCGCCAGACGCAGAGTAAACGGAAGGGAAGAAAAAGGAAAACGCGTCGGAGCTCTATCCCCCGCGGAGGAAAGAAGAGATAAAACCCGAGAGGGAGGGGGGCCATCCCGCGCGTCTCCGCTCCGCGCTCTTCACGTGCATATTTGCGCCTCTCGGTGTCGGTGTCGGACGGGCCCGGCGATCGATAAGGGGCGGGTGGTTGTGTATGTGTGTGTGGGCGGCGGTGGCGCGCCGTCGTCGAAGAACGCGAAGCGAATCTCCCTGAGAGTCGCCGGCGGTAGAGGTAGAGGCAGTGTGCTCTCGCGGACGGCGTCGACGGGGGCAGAGGAGAGCGCAACGAAAATCCCGAAGATCCGCCTAGGCGCCAGGATCTTCTCGATCGATCTCCGGCGAGCGTCGACTGTTGACATCCGACCGTCGCCGTCACCGATACCCGGATGAAGGCGATGGTGGTGAGCCCGGTGAGCGGCCGCGTGCCGCCCAATCATCGCGGCGTTCTGCACAACGGGCTGGGGATCGGAGGCGCCAGGCGCGACCTCGAGGCCGAGGAGGTCGCCGCTTACCTGACCAAGCTGCGCTCCCTCGTCCCGGACATGCCGCGCAAGCGGAAGCTGTCCAAGCTCGAGGTGATCCAGAGGGTGATCGAGTACATCTGCGACCTGCAGACCGCCCTGGAGGAGACCAACGCCGCGCATCAGGACGCGAAGACGACGACGACGGCGACGACGATGTCGACAACGGCGGCGACGGCGCCGGAGGCGACGGCGACGACGACGCAATCGTCGAGACAACCCCTGCAACCCCTGCTGAACGCCGCCGCGTCGATCGCCACGACGACGACCACCACCACCACCGTCGCGACGGTCGCCGATCGGTGACCTGCCGGCCGGACCCGTTAGGGCGTCGTTGAGGTCGTCGCGTCGAGGCCACCCCCCTCGTGTGTGCGCGCGTGGATCCGGTAGATCCGCGGCTCCGCTCTTCGAAGAGGGACGACGTCCACCCCGCGCTGATCTGACGTCACAATCTGGGTCACGCTGGAGCCGCTGCTGGAGGTGCCGATCGTCGCCCGGAAGAGAGAACGCGTTCGGGGACCATCCGAGGGGCGCGCCTACGTCCGAAGACGAAGATGCGCGACGGTGACGGAGAGAGAGAGAGAGAGAAAGCAGCGGAACACCCGCGCCGTTGGTTTTCCTCAAGCTCTGTCCTTCCCCCCTGCGAGGGGGAAATTGTAAATACATTTGTAAATACGCTCATCGCATTCCACACGAGATCTCTCACGGTTATAAGGATTCGGCACGAACCCTCCTTCCCCCCTCCTCCTCCTCCTCCTTCTTTTACTCCCCCAGACAGCACCGTGTCCAAAATCGAGACGTAAGACGTCTCAAAAGCGTCTTACATCCCGATTTTAGCCGTAAGATCTTATCATTCCAATTTTTTGGACCGACCGCGCGACGCCGATCGAACCGATCTCCGCTTTATCACGGAGCGGCTCCGTTTCGCGATCGACGGACTGGAAAGCAACGCGCGAGTCAGCGCTCGCGTGCCTCGACGAACTCTACCTGCGTGAAATCGGGAAAACCAGATCGATTCGAGCCTCCCGAGGGACGAGCCCGTCCGGTTCCTCGACTTCTCCTCGTCGATCGCTTCGCGACGCGACTTCGAGCGCGTTCGCGTGCACCGAGCGCACTCGAAACGTTCGTTACACTCGAGTCATATTATCTAGCGCCCCGCCCAGCCAGTCTCCGCCGATCGATCGCCTTTTCTCGCGGAGGTCCTCCCCGGAGAAGAGCCTCCGTTCGTCCGCGTTCCTCGAACAGAGCGGGGACAAAACCGCGTGACGATCGGCGAGCCTCGGATTTCGATCGATGTAGAATATCGAGCACGACGCAGGAGGTGACGATCGATCGGATGGGACCGGCCGCAGACTCGAGATTCGTTTGAAAGGCGATTCGACGAGGCCCCCGGTTATTGTTTTCCAGTTTCCGCGCTCCGTCGCTGGTGTCCCTGATTACTGTATTATAGTTATCACTACGTCGTTGTTATTAGCCTCTTATATTATAATTTAGACAGTGCTGACCCCTCCCCCCTTCCTTCCGCCTCTCATCGACCCGCGTAAATATTGTATATTTGCAAAGACTGAAAGGCTGTATAAGTACGTCATTGCGCGGGCGTCCTGCACTCGACACACATACACATCAACACGAAATAAATGCAAGCTGTGTCTATATAAGTTAGTCTCGTGCATTTGTTTTTATCTTGCGAATGACGCAATTCCCGTCCCCCGACCGCCTATTCCTATCGATCGCACGGGTGCGCGCACATAAATTGATTAAAAATAGCGAATAATTCCGTAATCCCTTGAAATTTGTATTTTTCTACGAAATCAAAAACACCTGGAAACGTCAATGTCGAAAAAATAAAGACGTTTGTTACGCACGCTCGTTGATTTTATCTTGAAAACGGAAGATTTCGTTAACTCGGTCAATTTAAAGATTTAAATAACGCGATCCTACATAATATCGTTAGTATTGAAATAAATATATATTTATTTTATTGTCCTCTTCCGAATTAAAAATGAAACATGCTTGTACGCTTTATATATATTCCTGAAAAAGTAAGATCGAACGCGGAGGAGTCTTCCCTTGGTGTGCTTTCCGCATCGTCTGCTCTACGTGTAAATCTGCTGAAGATTCGACGATATCGGGAGCGGAAGCCGGATGGCCGGACGAGGGGTGGCGAGGCGGACGGCGGACGGCGGACGGGAGGGTTAAATAGGCGCACGTGCGCGCAACAATCTACGCACACGTGCGAGGCGAGGAGGGGTGAGGGGTGACGTGACGGCCGTTCGCTGTCGCCATCAAGCTTCGTCGGAAGGCGAAGGATGTGTGCACGGATTGTATACAAGGGCGGACGCGCGACACCGTCGTCCCTCCGCGGTGGGGTGTAGGAGTTTCGCAAAGTCCCGTATTGATCGTCTTCCGACGCGGGTCACGTGCGCGCGTGTTCCTGGGAACGCTCGATCCGGGTTATACCCACGGGAACCGACCCCATGTGTGTGCCTCGACGTTTCTCTCTCTCTCTCTCTCTCCCTTATCTCCCTCCGCCCTCCTCCTTCCACCCGTCCTTCTCGTCCTCGCGCCACACGTTTCCCCTGCTCGAGCGAGCGAACGAGGGGGTGCATTTATTACCCCACGGAGAGGATTCGCGGGCAATCCTCTAAGAGCATTCGACGTCTAAGCGTATTAACCCTTCGTGCGATTCCTCTCGACTTTCTTGTACTATATCTCTGTGGAACGTTTAAGAAATCGTCAAAAGTTCGAAGTCGATCTGCAAAATTCGAGAAAAAAAAGCGGATCGCTATAAATCGCTCAATTACCCTAAAGAATATTTCGTTTTAATTCACTGGCGGAGGAAATTATTTTTTATATTAATTACCCTACCCGCCGAAACACTGTGCCACTAATAAAATAAAGTCGAAAGGAATAAAAATGACAGAGATTTCGTCTCCAAGTTTTCTCGCGATTGTATTTTTACTCCATCGTCATAAAGAATTTAATGATAACGTTCGATATCGCCTCGTGGAATCAGCCGTTCTCAGAAGTATCCATTTAACGTTTAAATTAGTCATTTTAAATAGCTGTACCGCGTACATCAAAGGAGAAGTGTCAAAAAATAGGTATTTCTCGCTCCGATTTTGAGCCATTTCGTCTGTTTGCAACAGAGACGAATAGACGGAGGGTAAAATCTCTCTTCCAACGTGAGGGTAGCAGCGGCTACACTCCGTAGCAGCCGTCGGTTGATGATTGCGAACAACACGCTGATAATGGAAATGAAGGCTGACTCACTACCGGGATCATCTTCCTTCCTTGTCTCGGCACGTGCAACCATGAAACGCGCGGGGGACTGCGTTCTATGACGGTCGATATGAAAAGTGTCGCGACATCAAGCATCGAGAAGCGTCGACGTTTCACTTTTATTCCTTGAAAGCAACTTTATCTTGATAGTAAATATTTGTTGAACTCTTATCAAATCTTAATCAAGTTTACACCTATACGAAACATGTTTACTATATCATTTCCTTCATCGATAGTCACACGTTTCTCGATACAATTTTAGAACTTTAAGTTTTAAGCTCAAATTGCGGGACCAATATGCGCAAATATTCAATGTATGAAATACAGATAATATAGAAAAACAGGAAAGTACAGAAGAATTAATTACGGACTAATCGTATCGAGAAGAAAAGTCGACGCCAGCTACTTTTTTTTCCACTACGACTAAAGGGAGACGATATATATTTATTAATGTTTTGAGATAATTATGGCACGCATACTGCATTAATACCTGAAGTAAACAACCGTCTATATTATAGATTATAATTTGTACATATTATGGGGTTACATACTAATAAGTTTTGTATATAACTAATAAAAAGCTAGTGCTCTATCGTTATGAAATGTTATTGATAGTTGAGCAGGAGTACGCTAACTCTGTTATAGGTGATACAACATAATAACCCAAATACGAAAATCCAAGAAATATTTCAAGTGTCTAAGGAATATCCAAGTTTTAATTCACGACAAATTTCAAAAACTTGAAAACTCCTGTAGACATCTTTACATCAAAGTTTAAAACTTAATAATCCATTTAAATATGATACTAAATTCAGAAATATAATATAATTGCTTAATATAGATTTCGAGATATAATTTTTTTTAAATCGGATCCTGTGAATGGTTGAAAGTCATATTGGTTAAATAAATAAAAATGCGTAAACAATCTTTCGAATTATTCATCGGATTTAAGTTTGACCTTTTATTTTAATAAACAGAATAGTAGTTTTTTTTTTCATAAAAAGATCCATGTTCAAACGTAGTTCTTTTACATGTTGGTATAGTTTATCTAAAAATCGAGAGCAAATCTTGCAAATAGCTCACGTAATATATGAATAAACAACAATACAAACGCATTAAACTTTCACGACTGGCTTTTCTAAATTACATTTATATATAAATGAACAATCTAAATTACATTTATATATAAATGAACATTCTAAATTACATTTATATATAAATCATGTTTCAAATAGATTCTGCTTTAAATACTGCAGCAGTATTGTATACAAATATTGCTTCAGTATGTTACTGAGAATTAAAAGTATTGATATAATATTCAGTTTTAACTTTCCTCATATAATAAATGAAGGAAATATTTGAAATATATTAAAGTGATTATTCTAAATATTTCAATTTTCCCCCATAAATGTTGATGATGGAATCTAATACCAGGCAAGAAATAAACAGATAAGAGAACTCTGTAAGGTGTTGGATTACGCCATGACTCGTCAATGAGGTATAATAGGTGTATACAAAACTGTATTTTCTTCCATGTTTTTTTTTCACTCGGTTAAATTTCTAACCAATATTAAACAAATTAGCTTTTTCAAGCGTGCGTACACGTGGTTTCTCGGATTATTTATCTCATACACAAGTCCGTACCTAATTAACGTTCTCTCACAATATCAAGCAGTACCATAAATGTTCGCGTAATAAAACCGTTTGGCTTGTATGCGGTCTCGAATTATGCCAAAATGTCCTATTAAGGTAACGGAGAAAGAAAAAGAAGTAAAAACTGTCTTTACTAGACTTGAGTGGTCAGATATTTTTTGATGGAGTCTTTTTCTCGGCTGAGCCATGCCGCGTTCAATCTAATGGACTCCACGCACTGCTGCACCGTTCTTTCGGTGCCCGGAGTCGGATGACCCTCGAAGAAGTTCTCCACATCTTTGGCCTGTTCCTCGGTGACGAAGTTCTCCGTGGTGAACTTGACCAGCCGCGCCAGTAAAAAGCCGCCCTCGTAACGATCCATCAGGGTCTTCCATTTCTCCTTGAAGAAGTTCCACGCCATGAGACGTCCTTTGTACGACAGACCCACGGACATGATGGCAAATACTGTGTCTTGAGCACGGACCTCCTCGCTCATCGCAAAGTCCAGGACCTTTCTCAGCAACGCTTCGTCCTTGATCGCGCCGAGCGCACGCAGGATCCGCTCTTTCTCCTCTTGAAGATCGGCCTCTTTGTATAATTTTATCATAGTGTCGTAAGTATTGGCATCGCCCACGGAGAGTATAGCTCGATAAACCGGGCTTCGCAAATCAGCAGCGAGCGACGTCGTGCCGTTTACGTGTAGCTCGAATCTTCTCTTCGCTTCCTCGATAGTAGGTTGATCATTAAAAGCCGCCATGCGACCTAACACGAGAGATCGGAGTAGCGTGGTTAAGTGACTCTCGTTTGGCCTAGGATCCCAACCTAATATCCCATTAACGTCGCGGAACAGATTACGTCCGAACGCTTTGAAAGAATCTTCAAAGTCTAAGTGCGAGATGAGAATGCCGATTTTACTTAGGATATTTACTATGGTAGACCACACGGTGTAGTTGTCCTCGTGCATGAACGCTTGCATTAATTCGAGCACCTCCACCGTGGATGCGTAACCCGCCTGTACCATCGCAAAGAGATCATCCAGTAAACCTAATCTGTCGAGAGGAGGTAACGTGTGATTCTTAATCGCGGGCAACAGAAGCGACAGAGCGGATTGACTGTAACGGGTTCGATAGAAGCCAATTGTACCAGGATTGATCTTCAGCCATGTGCCCTCGGGAACGTTTTGGATTACAAATTCCTTGGATTTCGCATCTAAAATGCCGTCGAATATCGTCTTGCTCGGATTTTTCGCAGAGGTTACGCTTATCGGTATGAGCCACGTATTATCTGCATTGTTGTCCACCGATCCGTCAGCCAAGAATCTCTCCTGAGACAATGATAAGATCCTATCGTCGCCCTCTTGGCGAAAGTCGACCTTGACAACGGGGAAACCCTGTCTCTTGGTCCACGACGACATCACTTTACGCACAGCCTTGTTACTGGCCTCCTCCAACGCGGCCCAGAGATCCTCGGTCTCCGCATTGGCGTAGCTGTGCCTTTTCAAGTATAGATTCATACCCTTCCTAAAATCGTCGTCACCTATGTACGCATGCAGCATGCGTATCACAGATGCGCCCTTGTGATACGATATGTCGTCGAAGATCTCGTCGATCTCCGACGGATGGCCGACCGGCACCTCGATCGGATGACTGTTCTTCAGAGCATCCAGTTCCAACGCTCGGATGTACGTGTCCGTCACGAATTGCGTCCAGATATCGTACTGTGGGAACAAATGGGCGACGCAGAGAAACTCTACGAATGACGCGTAGCCCTCATTCAGCCACAGATGCGTCCACCATTCCATCGTCACGAGATTGCCGAACCATTGATGCGCCAACTCGTGCGCCACTATCAATGCGATCCACTGTTTGCGCACCGCCGATGTATTCTTCGGATCTACGAGCAAACAGGTCTCGCGGTACGTGACGAGTCCCCAGTTTTCCATAGCGCCGGACGAAAAATCGGCGATCGCTATGAGATCGATCTTCGGCAGGGGATATGCGATACCAAAGTAAGTCTTGTAATAAGGCAGCACTTTGGTGGCCACTTCCAGAGCGAACTGGCCCTGCTCCTTCTTGGATTTGGGCACGTAAACTCGAACTAACACACCGTCACTAGACATGTCCTCGATGTAATCGAAATCGCCTACTACTACGGCCACTAAGTACGTCGACATAATAGGCGTTCTTTCAAAAGTCAATGTCTCGTAGTTGCCATTTGTAATTTTGCTTTTCACAGGCTGAAAATTAAAACAGATAAGATGTACACATATATAAAGAAATAATCAAATGTAAGAAAAACGTAAGAAATAAAAGAAAAATATGTATATCTACTTTAAATATAAATCAGAAGATAGGGAACAAAAAAAAAAAAAACAGAGAAGCGAATAATATTGCAGATGCCGGGCGCTGCTTACCATATTGGAAAGTGCTGTAAGACCGCGTGGTACTTTTAGCGTAATGTCAAATGTGGCTTTGAGCGCTGGTTCGTCCCAGCATGGGAAGCAACGTCTAGCATCTGTCGGCTCAAACTGGGTAACCGCCGCGTGTTCAACGGTACCGTCCTCTCTGAAATCATAAAAATTCTACATTGCAAGGACCGCTCACCATATTCGATATTCCGACCAGGGGTGTCTGAGTTGGGATTGCGAGATGTATATCAAAGGTCGCTTTGACGGACGGTTCGTCCCAACATGGGAAAAATCTCCGCGCCGACGTGGGACACAAATAAGTTACGGCACAGTAACCGTCTTGCCTTTGAAAGATACATACAACATACACAATTTTAACATTGCCTTCGTTTACCCACGCATTATATAATTTTGTCAGGTGCTAAAATTAACAAACAATGATTGAAACGTATTGTCAAAAGGGTCCTTTTCCTAATCAAATGCACAGACAGAGGCGAGCGATTTTGTAATTCTTTCATATATCGCAAAATTACGAGCTGCAAGTCTCACCCGGTATATTTGCTCCTATACAAGCCCTTCATCTTGTCATTGATCTCGCCCACGAATTCTATATTCAGGTATCCGCTCTTACCGGACGGCAGAGCTTCAGGAAATACCAACATGGCCGTTTCTTCGGAGGCTGACAGTTCAATTTTCTCGGCAGCAATGGTCTTACCATCGTTCCCGTTAAAAGTCGCGCTTTTTATATTAATTTCCAAAGAATTCAACACAATGGTATCAGTCGAGTTTTCCACCTGCAATCCAGAAAAAAGAAAGAAATCAGTAGAGAGAGAGGGGGGGGGGGGAATTTGCAGTAGTCATCGTACGTTGCAAAGATAAGCGTGAGATACCATTAAACAGACACAGTCTGAGGAAAAATAATGAGATAACGTCGGCAAATAATACAACTAGAAATCAAACGCGCGCGTCATTGCGGAATTAACGAGGCAAATTGTCGAAAGGATTTAAAACCGCGATTGCCGGCAATTAGAGGAGATAAAGGCGGTCGGTGTTTGCCTATCAAACTCGAACCTAAACGCTATTCAAACAGCCATGTAGAACCGGCGGGGAGGGGCGTTTCTTGGTTATGTTTCCCATATGGCTAGCGGCCGCTTTGTTCTCTGTCTCTTTATTCGACTCTTTTTCTTTCATTCGAGGAGAGGCGGCGAGAGAAAGAGAGAGACAGAGACAGAGATAGAAAGATCGAAGTCTAGATGACGACGGGACTTACGTTGAGGTGCACGTTCTCAGTTCCGTCGAAGGTGAAGGCAGCGAGATTCGGCGTCAGCGAGATATCGTAGTGATAGGGACGCACGCACAACGGCAGACGGCGAAACGGCTTCTCGTCGCCCGACATCGTCGCTTCGTTCGGCACGTTGACAACTTCACTCGCGCGGTCACCGCGATACGTCGCGTGCAGGGTCTCACCACCACCGTTCCCGACGGTGCTCGATCCTCGTAACAGCCGCGACAACAGATTATCGCCAACTCCCTTCCCGTTCCCGTTTTGCTGACTCACAAGGCGACAGCGCACACTTACACCGACACGTGCGACGACGCGCGAGAACATGGCCCAGGTTGGCCAGGTTGCGCCCGGGCGGGTATCGATATCGCGCGTTTACTCCGATACTCCGATACTCCGATATACGCGGTTACTCGCGGTATCGAGGTCTCTCGACTTCGAGTATCGATATAATGAAGACCCAGGCGGTCGATTGTGTAGTTTCGAACGAGGTGAAAATTACAAAAACTAAATTTCGGTAAATAAAATCGTAGATATTCCAGTTAATTTCCTCACTTTTGTAATTTTTACCTCGTTTCAAGATACACAATCGACCCTCTACACAAAATTGTATATTACATGTATTATAGTTGTTTTTTTTTACATACAGAGAGAGAGAGAGAGAGTCTTGAACCTCGGTGTTATAAATCTGCATAAAACTTGAAAAGATTCTTGCTGAGAAAAAGACTAACGTCTATTTCTACTAACGTAGATTAACTTTAATAGAGCACATATTAGGAATCGGGAATTAGAAATAATAATTAAACGTAACGCACAATGAAAAGGAATCAAATATAAGATATACATAAATATAGGAATATTCCTACATCTACATATCCCAATATTTAATATTTATTACAGGAATATAGTTTCCTATTTATATATCCTAATATTCGAGAGAGAAACAGCGTTTGGATCTTTCCCGCGCGTCGCGCGCTCGTCCAATCTAGTTACTTTCACGGTTTCGCCGTTCTAGGTTCGCGCGTGCGCGCGCGCGTCTCGGGCCTCGGCTGAGCTCGGCTGGCTCGCTCGCGACTTGTCGTGTCGTGCGGTGTGGTGCGAGGGTGGTGCGGGCGCAGGGCGCAGTATCCGCGACGTGCGAGAGACAGAGGCTTCCGGGACCGGTCGGGTCCCGTTCGCAGATGATTTACCGGAGGTAGTGTGTGGCGTGCGCGAGCACCCGCCGTCAGCAGGGTTAAGCGCGACCGGGGAGGAGTTGCTCCGACTCCGACGTCGCGATCCCGTGGGCGAGAAGAGGAGAGGAAATACCAGGAGGAGGAGAAGAAAAAGCCAAGTGTGTGTGTGTGTGTGTGTGCGTGCGTGAGAGTGCCACCGACGTGTGAACCTTGCCCCTCTCGTGGACCGGAGAGCCGATCTCTCGGTGGTGCCGAATTTCGCGGTGGTAATATTCTCGCGGTGGCGCACACCGCGCGGAAAGACCCCATCGCCGTCGTCGTCGTCGTCGTCGTCCACGGGGACAACGCGGAGGCGTTTTCATGGCGCGAGGCGACGCGACGTCCGGGACCGTGCGCGCATCGCCGAGATACGAGACGACGGCACGAGCGACGTGAGAGGAACGCGCGCTAGGGAGCACGGCGCCCGGGATCGCCGCAGGAGCATCGGCCGAGGGAAAAACACAGCGGCAACGGCGACGGCGACGGGGACGGCGGTAGCGGCAGCGGTAGCGGTAGCGGCGGCGCGTACACGCACACACCCGCAGCCGAGTGCGTCACCGCCCATATGTGATGTGTCCCGCGCGTGCGAGCGAATGAGTAATCATGTATTATCCGGACAAGGGTTCGACCGCCTCCAAGAGCAAAGAAGGTAAGTCGGACCGTCGGAGCGCGCGGACGCATCCTTTTCCCATTCGACTCGTTCCGGCTCGTCGTTTCTTATCGGCTCTCGGCCGCTTTTGTGTGTGCGTGCGAACGAGGTGTGTGAGAGAGGGAGAGAAAGCTGGAAAGAGAAAGAAAGAATGTATGTGTATGAGCGACAGAGAGAGAGAGAGAGAAAGAGGTAAAGGGAATTCCGTTCCAGGATCCGTAGAGATGGAAGAAGGACAACAGTCGGGGCAACGCGACGGAGAGGAGCAGAGTGATAAAAAAAGAAGGGTGTGGGAAGGAGGAGGAGAGAAAGAAAATGATAATTCTCTCTCTCTCTCTCTTCGCGCGCGCACGTGCATGTGTGTGTGCGAGTGCGCGCGCGTCTCATACGTGTACGTGTACGGTATCGTTTCCCGATGGCAGAAGAGGGACGGACCTCCAGTATGCAACTCAGGCAGAGAGAAACGTTTTTCTTCCTCGGCCCGCGACGTCGCTTTGATACGCGCTTGATTCGCGCTGGCGCGCTTATCGGCTTCAATCGCGGGATTCGCGTCTCCGTGGATCAACGTGGCTCTTGCCGTCGAGCGTCGAGCCCCGCGCGACGAGACGAATACGTACAACGCGATCTTTTGTGCAGCCCGATGCGTTATCATTTTGACACTCGAACAGACGTTCGTTATCCGACGCGTGAAACTGATGCATATTAGTTCGTTGACCCCCCACTTCGCTGTAACTGCTATACCTGTACGCAGAACAACTGTTTGCGTATGTATGTGTGAGTCAGTGTGAGTGTGCGTGTGCAGAACTGCACCGTGCTCGTGTGCGTGTAACGTACGTGTGACTGAATGGCGTGTCATGTGCCCCGCATACATACGGCGGTTTCAAAGTTTTTATCGCGATGGTGAGTGTCCCGTGAGAGTTTGCTTTGTTATGCAGAGCTCTCGCTCCAAGAAGCACGATAGTTGAGCTAGAATTGAACCTGTGCACTTGGAAGGGTATATACTTGAGAACGCGTATCTTCATCCTTGTAAAAAATCTGCCAACTTTCGTATATCACGATTAGATGAATCATCTACGTTCGGAACGAATTACATCATTCCGCTTTCAGATAAAACGCTGCTCAAGTTACCTTCATTGAGTGTCATAACTTCTAACTAAGCGGTCGAGTAAGAAGAATAAGGCACAAGTTTTGACCCTTGTAACGTTGTAACGCGAAAAGAATCATTCTTCATCCGTACCTTGTTATCCGTTGTACCGAATGCGTGTTACCCGCCAGAAGAGAAATTGGCGTAGACTCCTTTCTTTTCCCCCCTCTTCTCATTTGTGTATTACGTGATGTAATCATACGGATATTTTTTAGCGTGCATGTTTCTCGTCGTATCAAGTTCCTCGCGTTGTCATTTAAGAGGAATGTGACGCGTATATGGCTCTATAGTCATTATTAAGGAACACCAGCGTAACACAGTGGATGATGTCATCATAATGATCTGTTATATCTAAATTACTCGGATGTTCTTGGCCTTCTGTTATGATGTCATGCTATCTCAACTTACGTTTGGCATATCAAATGGTTGTTTAAATATTACCCTTGTTACATGCAGGCCCTGTGACAATGCGGGATAAGAAAGGCGGTGCTCTCAGCAGAGTGCAAAAATTGAAGAAACGCCTCAGTCACAGCTTTGGACGGCTTTGTAAGTAAAAATAATTAATTTTTTTCACATTGATAAAATAAAGTAGTATTTGCAAAGATTACAGTTTATTATCTTTAAATGCTTTTTTTAATATTATTGAATATATAATTTATATCAGGCAAATAATTGTTTTTGTAGACTGTAATTGAACAACGTCTACGTGTTTTATATTTGATTATTAACGTTATAAATATTAAAGATATTTGTATTACAAATAGAATAAAGTAGTTTGACGTAATTAAATCACGAATTATTTGTTAACTAGATACAATTATGATAAATATCATACATTTAAATGTTGTTTATTTTATTAAAGCTATATCAAAAGAAGAGGCTGATGATGCAGCAACCAGAGGTCAATTGCCATATAATGGTTATTCTGAGGAGTTCCTAGACCGCTTGGAGCCAAACGGCAACATACCTGAGGATAAGAAAGATCGTCGTTATGGTGAGCTTTATCATGAAAACGTTATAAATATGTTATAAATATATGTTCGTGGGTTTGATAACGTCTTTTAGACAGAGTTTGATATATGTTTATATATTTTGTGAAATTGAGACAGTATAATCTAATTGATGTTGTACACACATTTATTAAGTTATTTATTAACTAATTCTCATATATAAGAATGCACTTATTCACGATATATTATTAAAAAACACTAAAAAGATATCGCTAAAAAATTGTTTATCAATATGTATCAAATATCACGTTTTCATTTTTGTGCATATTAATTCTGCATGGTTGAAATTATACATGTATAAGAGTAGTTATCTCGCGATTATTTAAAATTTTAAATGTACAAAATAATCAAAACATATAGATATATTACATATAATTTAAACAACACAGAATTACTGTATATCTCAGAATTTTATAAAAGTCTGTGACTTTATCCACTTCTATTGCTGTTATTTTAAGAATGTTTTCGGAAATTGGACTGTCATAGAATGGGGCAACCATGAGAGAGTGCATCGGCAGCTTTCGGTTTCTAGCGATTCAAAGCTTCTCGATGAAGATATACGGGAGGAAGCTAGGGTAATTTTGCGGCCCCGACGTCCACCGCGACCCAAATCCGAAGTTTTTCTTGGTCCGGACCCACCTAGAAGAACTAAAAGATTCTCCGCTTTTGGGGTAATATTATACTACATACGTACTCATTCGTATATTCACTTTCTAGTACAATACTATACATTAATCTCAATTTGTCTCAACAGGGAGATTCGCCGTTCGGTAAATCTGAAGCTTATATAAAACTGGAGCAGTTGGGAGAGGGATCATATGCCACAGTGTTCAAAGGCTACAGCCATCTCACTAATCAAGTGGTGGCTCTTAAAGAAATTAGACTGCAAGAGGAGGAAGGAGCTCCGTTTACTGCCATTCGCGAGGCAAGTCTCCTCAAAGAGTTAAAGCATAGCAATATCGTGACTTTACACGATATCATTCATACCCGTGAGACGCTCACCTTCGTGTTTGAATACGTTCATACCGATCTATCGCAATATATGGAGAGGTATGGAAGCGGGAACGGAGGATTGGATCCGCGCAACGTTAAATTGTTTCTTTTTCAACTGTTGAGAGGGCTGGCATACTGTCATCGCAGGTAATTAAAGATATATATAGTACGTAACGCCGATGTCTTCATCCTGATGCGCGTTGATTAATTTGTGTTACTGCATACTTTAGGAGGGTTCTGCACAGAGATGTAAAGCCACAGAATTTATTAATCAGCGAAATAGGAGAACTTAAATTGGCAGACTTTGGGCTAGCAAGGGCCAAATCCGTGCCATCGCATACATACTCACACGAAGTCGTTACCTTATGGTATAGACCGCCCGACGTTCTTTTAGGTTCCACAGAATACTCCACCTCGCTCGACATGTGGGGAGTAGGTTGCATATTTGTGGAAATGTTAACTGGCGAACCGACATTCCCAGGTGTACGCTGTACGTACGACCAACTCGATAAGATATTTAAAGTGCTGGGCACACCTACCGAGGAGACTTGGCCAGGTGTCACGCATCTGCCCGGGTATAAGGCGCATAGACTGATATTTTATCCCCCGCGGAAACTGGGACTATCGTTTCCCCGGCTTTACGATATCGCCGACGGCGATAGTATGGCGTCGTCGCTCCTGCAATTGAATCCCGATCAACGGATAGGAGCGGAGGAAGCGTTACGACATCCCTATTTCGCCTCTCTTCCTAGGAAACTATATGAATTACCTGATGGTAAGAATTTTTTGTGCATAAAAATTACGTCTAACACACCGTTGCAAATATTGTCGTGAAACATATGTCTCTCACGTGACAATCTGTTAATTCTGTTGCAGAAGTGTCGATATTCAGCGTAGAAGGTTGTCACTTGTATACAAACTCGAGGCACGGGTGCGCGGATACGCGTCACACGACTCTTAAGACTTGAGGTTAAAGCAAACGTTAAAAAGAGTAAATTATAAGTAAATTCGCAATTTACACGTTGAGTGAAACATTCATCCTCATGAGATTCATACGTGTGGACGTACGCGCGCGCACACAACACACACACATACACGACCAATTATACTCGACAGATCTACACATACGCAAAACAGATATACACACATACAAACAACCATGCGCGCGCGCGCGGATACATAGGCGCACATGCACTACTCCCAGATGCGTTGTTCGCTCTCTCTCAGGGCTGCTCCATGATTTCCGCCACTGTTCGTTTTACACATGCAATAATAACATTCTTTTTCTCCTTTTTTTTTTCGAGAATATACGTATCGAGTAAATTATTAATTATTAACGAAGATAAATCGTAATTCTGGTCAAGGAAACAAGAAAGTAAAGCTTACGGCTACGAGTAAAAAAAAAAAGATTATAAGAACTTGCGCACGCTCGATTTAGGAAGCAAAAGCACGCACGACCCATCCTCGCACTTCGTCCAAATACTAGATTTAGATCGATACCAATCAAAAAGAAGAAAAAAAAAAAGAAAGATACCATACCGCCGCCCTGCGTCTCCCCGATCCCCAGCCCAAGCCAAGTAGGGCGGACGGTCGCTGGTTAGCAAAACTATTACGAAGTAATTATTACTTATCTTAGAAAAATTGTGGAAGACCTGTAGCACTTTATATAAACGAATTTTAAACTGCTGTTTCGAACACGATGTTGGTCGCTAGGTCAGTTGAGAATATTGATAGATAAAAATAGGGAACCGTTGTTCGAGTTAAATTTATCGTTAGACGTGATGATAGCTTGTAAGGTATTAGAAGTTTAGGGGGAAAAAAAAAAAAACAAACAGCGCGTCAGTATTAGTCAAGTGCCGTAGTAGCCAACATCGCGGGACGCAGCGAGAGAAAACTAATTGAACGCTCATCGTTAATAATACCCGATTGTAGTGATCTAGACGTAAGTGAATTAGCATTAGATCGTATTTAATATCAATCGAAGTTTATCGACAATGTCGCAACGTAGCGTAAATGATAGCAAATCAAGACAGACAGAGGGGAGAGAAAGAAAGTGGGAGAAGTGAGGTAGCGATTTTAGACTTGTCGAAATTTCATTTCAATTTGCTTTTAATTATTATTGACATTAGCCAAATATGGTGCTCGAGCTGTAAACTGTGACACGTTCAATCGACCTCGTACTCGTGATATAATTATTCAACGAGTATCCGTTCGATTTTTCTAAAATAAAAATAAAATAAAACTACTGGATAAATTAGCGTTGGCAATAGTAGAAGTAGGGAAACGTAAAGAAGAAAGATGAAAAACGGCGTTACAGTTCTTCCAAATTTTGTCTAAGCTACAATTGAACGATTATTGCGGTAATATTACTCCTTTTCGTAGGTTACATTTATACCGATTTTTCAGCACACTTATTAAAAAAAGAAAAATATATCAACGAGGTGAAAGTAAATGATAGGAGGGGGAGTTTCCGAAGAGATTTGAAAGACGCTATTGCTATTACTACCGATTATTGCGTTTATTTCGGTAGATTGTAAATAGTATTACACCAGATTCGTATTATCGATGATGCTGAGATAGCTGAATCGTGATAATAAATGTGACTTTGTAATAAATTCAGATGTATGGTACTCTGGACCCAGTTCATCCTTAACCCGGCAGTGGTACCACCAGGGCTAGGCGAAATATCCTGCAAAAAAAAATAATTGCATTTTAAATGCAATCCAAAATTACACTTACAAGCTCGTGATCGTTTTATGGGAGTATACACACGTTAAACTACTCTCTAAACTGAAACGCCAAATGTTGTAAAAAAAAAAAGTTATATTTCGTCTGTATAAAATACAGTTATAAAGATTTATTTTTACATCTTATAAAAAAGAAATATCAATAAACCACGATGAATCCTGCAACGAAGATTAGGATTTCGAGAATGTTACATTTCATTTTTGTATACTCGCGTGATGCAGAACGCGCGTACGAGAAATATTTCCTCTCATTGATATTAAATGATGAGAATTTTCATCTCTTTATTTAATTTCTATAGTCAAAAAACGTTTGCTTTATTGTAAATAGGTTGCAGTTCCCCAATATACATATTTCTCATTATCTTGACGTTACTACTTGTTATCATTCGTATCATCTTTTGTCGAAGTTAAATATACATAATGTAAAATTAAGCTTGTTTAGGCGCTTTGTAGACGTTTAAGATTCTTCGTTTCTTATCCTGCCATTTTCGTGAAGAACGGGCATTTATAGAATGAATTAAGTAGGTTGATATCGTAAATCATAAGTATAATTTCCTATGTTTACGGAATTTCGAGAGATATTCCGGCAGAATTGGTTTTTAGGAAGCGGTGCTAATATACTTTTTTACTCTAGTGTGAAATTTGTAACTTATCCCATCCTATGGATGGTAGCTTCGAATTTTGTTTCTAGAAGGAAATTACGTTTAATGTAAATATTAACGTGTAAACATGGATCCGTTTACATCGATCTCAATAAATATAAAAATAGAGGAAGAAAAAAAATTTAAGTGTCACAACTTTTTTTATATGTGAAGAAATTTGTTTCATATTCATATATAAATTTAAAAAAATACACTTAACTATTTTTTAATTTGATTTTTTTGTTTCTAATCCTATCAAAGTATATTTATTAATTTATTTATTAAATATGAAAATTGATACATGATACTTCAAGAACAATTAAGTTTCAAATATAAATATACGTACAGAATTTCTAGATTGACTTTTAAAACTTAAGAAGAGTAATGCGAAAAACGTAAATATAAATATAAAGATCGACTTTGTATTATAAAATTTTGTTATTTACATTTTGTGTATATAATAATATTTGTGTCTTTCACACGCGCGTGCATATGTTTTATATTATATCTAATCCTGATATAATGACATAATATTTCGAAGTGAAGTTTGTTTAACTCCACATTTGGATGCATTTATCAGTCTCTCCCTAAACTTACTTTTCCTTAGTTTTTAATTAATATATTTATGAATAATAAATAATTCTTCAAAAATGACGCATCTCAATTTTCTGCAAGAAAAATATAAAAAAAAGTTTATATAGGTCTCTAAATAAATTCCGTCGTATCGATAACAAAAATTCTACCACTGCCGAGTTAAACGTTTACCATACATGTTTCATTTAATTTTCCAAAAATACACAAGAACCTTCGTAGCTTTAATGTGTACTTAATACGTTGTTTAAGTATCCGATATTTTGTACGCGTACAAAATCTTTCGGTCTTCAACTGTACATTTTATTTGTAAATTTTTTTTTTATATAAGAAAATCGCGAATATATATCGAAACCGCTGCGGAATTGCGTATTGAACAAGAATTTAAAAAAAGAGAAAGTGGAGGAAAAGGAATTATGTTTTCGCGCATAGATTTTGCGTTCGAAAATGGACATTTTCTTGAACACATAGCGTCGTTAAGAACATGTGTTACATATGTCTGACGATTAGACCGATTGATGATCGATTCCCGAATTTATTCGGAAGTTGAACGTATTGTGCCTGTGCTACAAATATTTGAAATAATAAAGATACAACTCTCGCTATATATAGATATATTATACTGCTTATGAACTCGTACATCTATTTTCGAAATGCATGGCATAATGTTCTCGACAAACTGCTGTTTTATGGCTCAAGTTTCCGTGTAAGCAAATTTGAAAATAATTTATATTTGCGAAATGAAATTTCTTGAAACTCCAAGTAGTCGTCTGTCGAAAGCAGATCTTGCAAAATATTTGCTGTAAATTTTATCGACGAGTATCAACAGAATCTGACAGAATATGGCAGATTGCCGGCAAACACCGAGTAGAATCTGTGGAATATTTCATTTGAATAGTTACGGACAGATTCTTCTCGGTATCTGCTGATAAAACGCGAGCTCAATAAAATTAACGTCAATCGCAATATTCTGTTCAAATCTGCTGGCAAATTGCTAACTTTTTGTTTATCGGAAAACTTTTGTATATTTTTTTTTCTTTCCTGCAGCTTGAGGTGCAAAATATTTTCAAGTACTTGCCAGCATTACAAAGATTTCTTTTCATTGCAAAAATTGTTATACAAGATGACGATTGAGAAATTGCTCAAACTAAACTATCATACATTCCGTTTTTATTATTTCAAGGATTATCTGCTTCTGTTATTTTCGCGAATTAGAAGCATGTACCAGTTTTATTCTAACTTTTGTATACGAATCATTCTGTGCGATTGCTCACGAGTGCTCTCATTATGAGCGAAAAAAGTTTTTCTTATCAGTTATTAACGGAATTGCGGCTAAAGCGAGACGAGTAGCATTTCGTTCAACAATCATGGAGTTATTCGGAATTAAAAAAATTGAACAATGAAAATAAAATTATTTTTAGTTGAATAAATGTATAAACAAAATCGTTTTTTTTTTTGGGAAACAGATAATTTTAATTTTTTGTCGATCTTCACAAAAATCATTCTTTCCTTTCGTGCCATTTTAATCGAACAAAAATAAAATCTTATACGGACAATTCAAAAAATTATTCGGGACATTAACTTCCAGTTTTAAAAAGCGCTTTCCTTGAAAATATTCAACATTTTAATATTTTTTAAACGTCTTAAGTAAGTAGTTTTCGTTTCGTATGCTAAAAATGACAGATATTTCTTATATATCTAAAATCCGTCCGACAAATAGTTTCAACAATTTCTCAATTGTCTTAATTATACCTCATTTAAATCTAACAAATGCTTTATTACATGCCACAGCGTTCCGATATAATCTATAGAACAATACACATCTTCTTTATTCCAATTGAATTTCAATTCAAATCTCAGTTCCAATCCGTAGGCCCGATACGGGCTTAACGCCGCGCGATTGGTCGGCCGCGAGCGGACGGGGCCGCGGGGTTTTACGAACGCGGGTGTCAGCGTCCTCGTCCTCGCCGCGCTCGCGTCCAACGTCCAACCCTTTTTCATCCGCGGTGTGCGCGCCGCGAAGGCGAACTCAGTTTAGCCATGGGCGCCACGGTGCGCTGTGAGTTCTTCTTGTCGTGTGCCTTGTCCGTACCTGCCAGCGACGCGTTCTACGCGTACGCGTGATCGCGCGCGCGACGGAACATGTCCAGGAACGTTCTTCACGCGCCGTGTTCAATCAGCGTCACTTGATATACGAACGGTGGGGCGAAAACGCGCGGGCGATACGGTGAACGGGCGCGACGAATTTCCTCTCGCAGGTAAGTACCTTTCCTCCTTCCCCCCCCCCTCCGCCCCTCCTCCGCGCTCTCCGCAACTCCGCACCCGTTGTGTTGTGATACTTGTGATACCATTGTGACGATCGCCGCTGATTCTGGATTATACTTTTCGTTAACTCAATTGGTGAACCCGCGGCGATGATCAAAGATCACTGATATTATATCGACTATCCTCTGTTCGAAAAAAAATTTGTGTGTGTGCGCGCGCGCACTATACAAAAATTTATAGTGTGTGCAGGGTGTGTATATAATTATTGTATATAAATTCGCTGTATGTATATTTATGAAGCCGAAGGTTTGTAAATCATAAAATCAATTTCGTGTTACGGAGTAATGTCCATTCCTACCAATGTAGGAACCAATCAATTTTAATCTCGATTTGATTTGCCTCTTATCTTTTTCTAATGTCCATTTTACCAACGTGCGTTAATTTTAATCTCGATTTAACGTGCTTTTTATCTTCTTCTAGTTCTAAAAGAATTAGAAAAAGATAAGAAGAATGTTGAGTAGAGATTAAAGTTAATAATCTACGTTGATAGAAATGGACATGTAATATTCTTAGAGCTAGGAAAAAAAAGATAAAACAAAGTAAGTCGAACCGAGATTAAAGTTAATCACACAGCCTTGACATAAATACTCATCCAAACGTTCGTTTCAGGACGATCGGTAACGTCGGCGCTCTTCCGTTACCCTTCCGAGCCAACACTTGATACACTTCGCAGCCGCAAAAGTTTTTTTACCCGGAGCCTGCTGCCTTTTGCTACGATCTCCTCGTCACGTCGGTGCGCCCCGAACCGAAGCCTTCTAGATTCATGGCGCATGAATTCTCTCTTTCTTTCTCTCTCCCCGCGCGATGAATCACGTCCGTACCTTCCTCGCCGTTCCGCCGTGATTCACGTTCATTTCCCTTTCTTCCTCTGTCTCTCTTTCTCTCTCTCCCTTCTCCCGGATTTATGGCAAATGGATATAAAGGAAATTGCTTTAACGTGTAACGATTCGGGGCGCACGTGTGTGTAGCGCGCGATCCCGTCGTCCTTGATCGTCCTCCGAATAAGAGAGGCCTCCCGTTCCTCCTGCGGCGGTATCAGGACGTGGTCTCTCGCGCCGAATGATCGTCCGAAATTCGCGTGTGATCTGTGTGATCTTGGTAAACAAACAAAGAACACGAGAGGGGGAAAGAGGTGCATTGGATATCACTGGATCTCGAGCGGCTGTTCCCGTCAATTTTCGGCATCCCGTTTTCCTTCCCGGATTGACAGTTTCCGCGTCCGACGTTACCGCCTCGTCCGCATCAGCTGACTTTTGGTATTTGAAACATCCGATATTTGTGTGACGGGAGAAATATATATTTTCCATTCTTATCGTTTGCAATGCAACGTGACCAAGTTACTCATCCAATGTCGTACAGTCCCTTCTTCCGTCTACAGGCTCAAAGGGTTATAAAAATATCTGTGCATTATTAGAAACTTTCTTTGCGGAGAGATGATTGTATTCCTGAGGTACTTTAGTGTACTCGGTTTCGTCACAAACGCTTACATATTTCTCTTGATCTTTTCAGGTCTGCACAGATACCATGGGTCGTTACACGGGGAAAAAATGTCGTCTCTTGACAATGTTATGGCTGACAGCTTTATTTTTCTTAGTCGAAATCGTAGTCGGTTACGTCACCAACTCGATGGCTTTAATAGCAGATAGTTTTCACATGTTATCAGATGTGGCCGCTTTGGTGGTGGCATTTCTCTCGGTGAAGGTAAGTTTCGTGCTTATTTTGCATTTTGTTTTGCAAAATTTCAGACAACCATTTTACTTTTGTAACATTGTTGATTGTTTACAAGCGTTTTTTTACGTTACAGATGTCACCGAAGAAATGGTCCAAAAATACCTTTGGCTGGGCCAGAGCCGAAGTGTTGGGAGCCTTGGTAAACGCCGTGTTCCTGGTCGCTTTATGTTTTAGTATTACCGTGGAGGCGTGTAAGAGATTTATCGAGGTAGAGGAAATACACGAACCCAAACTACTCGTCGGAGTTGGAGCACTCGGCTTGCTGGTGAACTTGATAGGTTTATGTTTGTTCCATGGTGAGTATCGTGTAAATTGAATTTTATTTGTTTTCGATTAAGTTTAAACTGTTCGAGGTATACGAGGGTGATATTTATTTTGATGTAGACATTTATCCTTGTTTTGAAGAATTTAAAGGTTCTCTGAAATTGTCCCAGTTATCAGAAGTATAAAAATAGAATTGCGTATAATAAATATTTGTATATTAATACACATATTTGGAAGAATATATATACAGAATAATCATACAGAAATTTTCACTATTACTTTCTTTCTGTTAGATAATATTTGTAAAGTACTTTACTCCTATTTTATATCTTAATAATTATCCTTCTGGTGTCTAATCATATATCTTAATATCTTAATTATGATAATGGATAACTGTATTGTATATTCAAATTGCTGTTTGCATATAAGGTTCTTTGTTCATTGTCGCGATGTTATCTTATTATTGGTGCTCAAGAGATTTTGTCTTGGGTCAAGATAAAGAGAAATTGATTATTAAATGTATATCTACTTAGCAAACGTATTAACACAGCAAGATTTGAAATAAAAAACTTCTGTAAATATAAGAGAAATAAAATTCTTATTGTAGAGTTGCTGCGATAGATTTATATCTCAAGATTGCAAAGGAAAAAAATATCGGAGCTACAATGTAAATGTTAAAAATTCTCCCCCCGATGAGGAGAAGTATCAATAATACTTAATATATTTATTTCATTATTTTATTGATATTAAATTCTCTGAAACTGAATATTTGGGGAATATTGGATTACACGAATAAACGAATATTGTTAATATTAAGGGAGAAACTTTATTATTTTATCGTACTTCATGAAGCATTAAGTAATCTTATGGTTATCGATGTTCAATGTGTTTCATAATTGCGACACTTAACAAGAAACGGCTAATATTTCTTCTTTTTAATTAATCGATTTCTACATCATCTATCTTATATAACAGATAAAATTAATCTATTTTATCGATATATAAACTGCAGATATTTATAAGTGCAATTATTGCAGAACATGGGAATGCTCATGGTCACTCACATGGTATATCTCGAAGTCATAATAGACTAAGCACCTTGGTGGGCACAGACGACAATGAAAACGACGAAGCTTATAGACCTTCGACACCCCAAGTAAAACGAGCGCATGGCCATTCGCACGATGCAAGTCAGATGAACATGCGAGGAGTATTTCTTCACGTACTTTCTGACGCGTTGGGCTCTGTCATCGTAATTGCGTCTGCCCTAATCGTGTGGCTGACAAAGTGGAAGTACAGGTGATTGAATACTCTACATTTTTACGTATTTTATACAGATACTGAAGAATTGAACACGTAATTTAAAATTTGTTTATTTTTTTTTCTACACAGATTCTACATTGATCCTGCATTATCGCTTTTATTGGTCATTCTTATCCTGCGTTCCGTGTGGCCGTTACTTCAAGAATCAGCTTTAATTCTATTGCAGACTGTGCCAACACACATTCAGGTAACATTTTTTTCTGGCTTCTTCAATTTGTTATATAAGATCTTTAAGATGTACGATAAATATTTGCATTGTCTAATTTACAAATTTATTCGTACAGGTCGATGCTATACAGCAACGTTTATTAGAGAATGTGGACGGTGTATTAGCTGTACATGAGTTTCATGTATGGCAATTGGCGGGTGATCGTATTATAGCTAGTGCGCATATAAGATGTAGAAATCTTTCGGAATATATGAAAATTGCCGAACAAGTTAAAGAATTTTTCCATAACGAGGGTATACACTCGACGACTATTCAACCAGAATTTATTGATGTAAGCAGATATAGTAACATTATAAAAATTTTTGTGCATGCACGCGTGAACGCAAAACGTTGGTTAAAACAGAATTTAGATATAAAAACATTACAATAGAAAAGTTTGTGCAAAGAAACTAAGTAAAAATGCATGCAATTTCCGAGTTACAGTCTTTTTAAATATATTCAAAGCTTTGAATGATCGCAAGTTGTGATTAAAAAATATGTCTGTGAGTCACACGTGAAGTTAATACACGATCTTTTGTCCAGCGTTAATGATCGTAAGTTGTGATTAAAAAATCTGTCTGTGAGTCACACGTGAAGTTAATACACGATCTTTTGTCCAGCGTTAATGAT